CTCCCGTCTCTACAAAAAAAAAAAAAATTTAGCCAGCCACAGAGGTGCATGCTTGTAGTCCCCATTACAAGGGAGGCTGAGGCAGGAGGATCACTTGAATGCACGAGTTTGAGGTTGCGATGAGCTGTGATTGTGCCTCTGCACTGCAGCCTGGGCTGCAGAGCAAGACCCTGCCTCTAAAATAATACATTTAAAAACAAAGGGAGTTCAAAATTACCCCAGCAGCTATCCATAATAAAGCTTCTCAGCAGAGCCAAAATAATGTGCTTACTTTTCTAAAATGTTCTTTATCTCCTTTCCTCTGGATTATACAAAATTATTCTAATTACTAGTAGATTTACTGAATGAAGAATTACCTGTTTCCTAATAATATTTTTTTTGATCAGGGAAGAGAGGTAAGTATCTCAGTCTCAAGGACATGAGCTCCATCAAAGAAAATGCAGCCAGTAAGAAGGCGAATGCAAGCTGCTTCTGTCCCAACGGTCTTTGAATTGGATCTCTCCTTTTCCTTTGCTTAGGGCCTTCCCCAACCCCATTTAGAAAGTTGCTGTGAATCAAAGTGCCGTTTAGCATTTTCTGCTGGGATGTTTTTGGAAACTGGGTTGATCTGCATGTGCTTCTCCATAAAAAGAGAGAAAAGCTGTATCTTTGATGTCATAGGCCTAGAAAATGGCCTTTTTCTTTGTGGTTATTTTGAAAAGGCAATTCTGATTTCATCTGACACATTCACCATAGCGTTTCTGGGAAGAATAAGAGGCTGCCACAGTTGAACCTACCAGTTCTACCGTTACCAATGCCATGCACTCCTCTACTTCTGAATTTCTAAATTTTCTCTAAGAAATAATTAAAAGCCCTCTTTCTTTCAAGGGCATAATTCCAGCAATATTTTCGTCTTTCTCCTGTATTATTTTTAAAAATCCTGTTTGATCTCTATAGGATCGTTCATATCAGCACTCAAAGCTGCTTCTCTTTCTTTCATCTGAAAGAAATGTTCTCTTGCTTTCACTTTTCCTTTCAGCTATTGATAGTGCTGTCTTCCAGTTTATGACCATATTTCCTCCAAGTGTCATCAAACCTGCATCTTATTTCTTTCATCTCATTTCTTTATTACACTCCTTCATCTTGCCTTCTTCCCCAACACTCCACTTAAACTGATCTTTTACATTTCACTAGTTGAAATGGCTATGTTAGTCCTCAACTTACATGATTTCTCAACACTATTTGATATATTGGATCTCTCTCTCTCTCCTGTTAGAAACTGCTATGGTCTGAAAATGTTGCCCAAAATTCTTATGTTGATAGTTAATTGCCATTGTGATAATCTTAATAAGTATGAAAACAGTGGCCAATATGTAGAGCCATCTCTCCATATGCAGAATGCAGGTCTGGGAGTCAAGGGGAAGAGGTGTGCGTTGCTCTTCTCATTATTACTCAGTGATCCATTTGGACAATTTTGGATCCTATCCCTATGACCTTGATTGAGCTCTGAGGCAATGGGTGTCTTTGTGCCCAGTGGATGTTTCCACTAAGGAGCACTGCCACCTTTCAAAACAACTGAAACCTGAAAACTGCCTCTGGCCATTTTAGTCTCTTTATGCCACTGAACCAATATGCAGGGAAATGTGTCCCTCTACTTGAAGTGATGGCTCCCAATTTCTACAATGTAGTTTGGTGTCTGCCATACAATGGAGGTTAAAAAACAAAACAAAACAAAAACCACTACTCATGCAGGGAAGTCTCTAAATGTTTTTTAACCACAAGCCATGGTCAATTAAAAATTGTGACAATGGAACAAATAACAAGACCACAAGGATACAGATCCCACAGGAATAAAGGCCTATTTTATACTACCGTGTAAAGAATCCAGCCGACATACTGACACAGGTCAGGATAACAAGCAATTAATTTTATTTTTATATATGTATTTTTGAGGTAGGGTTTCACCTCATTGCTCAGGCTGCAGTGCAGTAGAATGATCATGGCTCACTGCAGTCTCAACCTCCCGGGCTCAGGTGATTCTCCTACCTCAGCCTCTCTGGTAGTTGGGACTACAGGCATGTGCCACTAAGCCTCGCTAATTTTTCGTATTTTCTGTAGAGATAAAATCTCGGCATTTTGCCCAGTCTCATGAAATCCTGAGTTCAAGTGATCTGCTCCCCTCAGCCTCCCAAAGTGCTGGGAACACAGGCGGGAGCCACCGCGCCTGGCCCACTTCCCTGTGTGTGTGTGTGTGTGTTTTTTTTTTTTGAGACGGAGTTTCGCTCTTGTTACCCAGGCTGGAGTGCAATGGCGCGATCTCGGCTCTCCGCAACCTCCGCCTCCTGGGTTCAGGCAATTCTCCTGCCTCAGCCTCCCGAGTAGCTGGGATTACAGGCACGTGCCACCATGCCCAGCTAATTTTTTGTATTTTTAGTAGAGGCGGGGTTTCGCCTTGTTGACCAGGATGGTCTCGATCTCTTGACCTCGTGATCCACCCGCCTCGGCGTCCCAAAGTGCTGGGATTACAGGCGTGAGCCACCGCGCCCGGCCGTGTGTGTTTTTTTTTTAAAGGTTCATTCTCCTCTCCTTTGTGCCTCAAATATTCATTCTGAAGTTTCTGCAGTACGGGGCAAAGGTGGATTATTTCCCAGTACAGGAAAAGTGAAGAGATTTGCTGAATTTGGAGTAAGGAAAGCCAGGGGAAGAATCTCCCACTTCCTTTGTAATTGTTTTCTATCGTCTTCCATGTGCAATGATTGAGGCATTTAAAACTCTTACAGGAATACGTCAAATTAATAAACATTTTTAGAAAGTCTGTAAACTTTCTCATTTCTCTAAAAAGAAAACACACCCCTTTAAATTCCCTGATGAAAGTAAAAGAGCCACTGGCCATGGTGGCCTATGCCTCTAATCCCGGCACTTTGGGAGGCCAAGGCTGGAAACCGAGAGGTGGAGGTTGCAGTGAGCCGAGATCGCACCATTGCACTCCAACCTGGGCAACAAGAAAATTCCGTCTCAAAAAAAAAAAAAAAAAAAAAAAAAAAAAATAGCAAAAGAGCAATACCATCTATGCATGGTAAAGTCAGTCTCACAAATACCTTAACGTTGATATTTATATTCATGTTAATATGTCATAGACATAGAAATACACCGCCCAGATCCTCCTTCAAGGAAGGACTTGCAGCCCAGCTGCAGTTAGCAGACAGGCACCAGCTTCTTCGGTGTTTGCCTCAGCTGCAGAGTTCCTCCCTACTCAAGGCGGCCTCCTTCCCCGGGGTAGTCCTCATTCAGTCACCCACAAAGGGGTTAAAAAGAGTGGTCTAGAGCCCCTCTGGCCCAATGTGGGCGCAACTTGACAGGCATACTGGCTCCAGAGCTCTCCGCTGGGTTGGTTGAACATTTTTCTGGCCCGTATCAGTTTGACATTTTCCTCTGCGCAATCCTATTTCCTTCACCCCTTCACAGATGCTGATCCTTAATATAACGTTTTGCATCCCAAACATCACCTCAGCATCTGTTTATGGAGAACCCACGTTACTACATTACAATTTCTCTTGCTGTATCCGTTGCATTTTACTTTTTAATCGGGCCTCTGTATTAAAGACTAGGAGTACGCAAAGACTGCGAGTAGCAAACAAATCTATGTGTACTGAATTATAGACTATGTCCTTTTAAATCTTTGTGAACTACAGAAAGTTTATACTTTTTTTTGGTGTTCTTGCTTTTAGGTGGCTTGAATTCACAGAGGAAAAAATAAAGATGTATACATATAATATTTCAAATAATATATATCTCCCAGAGGGAGAGAGCATAATGGGGCCCTCCATTTTAGACAGGAGATAAGCGAAAATTACCTCTTTAAATGTGTTACTTGATCAGAGACCTACATAGACTGAAAAAAAGTGAGACAGGTAGCTATCAGGGGAAGAGGGAATTGAAAGTGCAAAGGCCTTAAGATAGAAAATGTGTTTGGCCCTTTATGGGAATAGACAGAAAGCCTTGAGGCTATAAAATAAAAGCAAGTAATATCAAGGAGGGGAGGGGAGAGGGGAACCTCACAGGGCTTCCTAGGGTAAGTAGATTAATATGGACAAGCAATCAAAAGCAGTAGCAATCCTGATCTAATAAATCTGTTAACACAAACTAGCTAGACAGAAAAAGGTATGCTGTACCCTAAGCTACTAGAAGAGTGCATTAATACACGTGTTCCAAAGAAGTAGGACTAAGTATTTACCAGCGTGGGATTCAGGAAACTCTGCATCCCATATTCTCCTGCCATCAGGATCCAATTCTAATGCAAATGGTTACTAGATTTTCATCACCTTGGTAAAGTTACTCTAAAGAGTTAGACCACTGAAGAATCAGGCTGCCCTTTCCCAGTACTTTCCAAGGATAGTACTTAAAATTGCAAAATTTGACTTTAAAGAGTGTTGAGTATTACATTTTTATGGCTGTTTGACAACACCATTAATGTAATAGAATTATACACTGCAGGCCAGGTCTGATGGCTCACGCCTGTAATCTCAGCACTTTTGGGAGGCCGAGGCAGGTGAATCACCTGACATCAGGAGTTCCAGCAGCCTGGCCAACATGGTGAAACCCCGTCTCTACTTAAAATACAAAACACTAGCCGGGTGTGGTGGTACGTGCCTGCAGTGCCAGGTACCTGGGAGGCTGAGACAGAATGGCTTGACATGGGAGGTGGAGATCGTAGTGAGCCAAGATCGTGCCAGGGCACTCCAGCGTAGGCGACAGAGCGAGACTGTCTGAAAAGAAAAAATAAAACCATTACACTGGAATTAGAATAGATTTCAGACTTAACGTTTGACTTCCCTTTTTGCCCGTGCTGAATAAGCTTCTCCTGTGTATTCTACACTAACTTGTGGGTCTCTAACCTTTCAGTGGGTTTGAGTTGCTGCAGCCCAACCCCAAAAAAAGCACTTTACCATGTGATCATGTAATGAGACAAAGATTAAGTGAAACAAACAGGACTGTGCCCAGCTTTCTCTAGGACAGCGTTAAGTGGCTCTGAAAAGAGCCTTTGTTTTTTAGCTTTCAGTCTCGCTCCTTACTTGGCCTTGTGGTGGCTCTCGGTCTTCTTGGGCAGCAGCACGGCCTGGATGTTGGGCAGGACGCCGCCCTGCGCGATGGTGACCTTACCCAGCAGCTTGTTGAGCTCCTCGTCGTTGCGGATGGCCAGCTGCAGGTGGCGCGGGATGATGCGGGTCTTCTTGTTGTCGCGGGCCGCGTTGCCCGCCAGCTCCAGGATCTCGGCGGTCAGGTACTCCAGCACCGCCGCCAGGTAGACCGGCGCGCCGGCCCCGACCCGCTCGGCGTAGTTGCCCTTGCGGAGCAGGCGGTGCACGCGGCCCACGGGGAACTGGAGACCAGCGCGAGAAGAGCGGGTCTTGGCCTTGGCGCGGGCTTTACCGCCCTGCTTTCCACGTCCAGACATAGCTACCACAACTTAAAGCAGCTAACAATGAAGGCACAAAAGCAGTGCTTTTTTATAAACACTATTGGGCGCGAAAAAGAAGATGTGTGATTGGTTAGGATTGCAGCTTAATTTTAACCAATGGCAGTGAGTCTTTTGGACCTGCGCCTCCTGATTGGGCATTACTAACACCTGACGTCACCCTGAATACTCACCAATCAGATACAGGACTTTAACTCTTCACCTTATTTGCATGAGAGGTCCTATATAAAAACGACTCCTTGTCCCCTGCTTCCATTATTTCCCGCTTCCTCGAGCTAGCTGTTGATCGTTTCGTACCTTGGTTTTCGACATGCCTGAGCCAGCGAAGTCCGCTCCCGCCCCGAAGAAGGGCTCCAAGAAGGCGGTGACCAAGGCGCAGAAGAAGGACGGCAAGAAGCGCAAGCGCAGCCGCAAGGAGAGCTACTCCGTGTACGTGTACAAGGTGCTGAAGCAGGTCCACCCCGACACCGGCATCTCCTCCAAGGCCATGGGCATCATGAACTCCTTCGTCAACGACATCTTCGAGCGCATCGCGGGCGAGGCTTCCCGCCTGGCGCATTACAACAAGCGCTCGACCATCACCTCCAGGGAGATCCAGACGGCCGTGCGCCTGCTGCTGCCGGGGGAGCTGGCCAAGCATGCCGTGTCGGAGGGCACCAAGGCCGTCACCAAGTACACCAGCGCTAAGTAAACTTGCCAAGTAAGCGTCTTAAAGCCCAACCCAAAGGCTCTTTTAAGAGCCACTTAAATTGCCGGTATTAGAGCTGCACACACGTGTTTCTAATCCAGGTTTAAATTCGGGCGGTCTCTTTAAAGGGATTATCATGACCTCATTACGCTGAGTAATGCGTACAGTGCTTGTAATGGAGTCTGGCCGAAGTGAAGGCGCATACACTTTGCTAGCACTGGGTAAGGAATATGGCGGCTAAAAAATCGGGGATGTGCAGGAAACTTGTTAACAGAAAGTGCTTCCTGGCTCTTGGCGCGAAAATAGATACTTCCGTTGTGTCTAGTGCTGTGGCTTCCTGTTCGAACTTGTTGAAATCTTATTGTGTCACGTGCACCTTTCCACCATTTAAGAGAATTCTAACTTGGTTTTAGAAGTAAATTTGATCCCCAATAACCTTCCACAATGTATGGCTTTCACTCAGCAGTTACCTTATTTTTTAAATTTTTTTGGACAAGGGTTGCTCTGTCTCCCAGGCTGGAGTGCAGTGGCTCGGTCTCGCCTCAGCAACCGCCACCTCCCGGGTTCAAGCGATTTTCCTGCCTCAGGCTCCCAAGTAGCTGGGACCAGAGGCGCACCACCAGCCTGGCCAGTTTGTATTTTTAACACTTCACCGTATTAGCCAGAATGGTCTCGATCTCCTGACCTCGAGGTCTGCCAGCTTCGGCTTCCCAAAGTGCTGGGATTACAGGCGTTAGCCACCGTGCCCGGCCTAGCAGTTACCTTATCTAACCCCTTCTAGGCTGTACCCGGTTTTGTGTGGCTTGCTTTCCCCTCCCCTTCGTTTCCACCTCTCCAGCCCACAAGATGTCGAGAAAATGTCCGACCACCAAGCGGGATAGTCTGTAAGGGTAAGGGGAGGAGCATACCTTTTCTCATGAGTGAAGAAAAGGAACTTGAGAGATCACGGAGATTTTTGGAATAGTTTGCTAGGTTTTAAAACATGTTTAGCGTTAATTGGCTCAATCAGTAATTTTTCTTTTTGACAAACAAGAAAGCTGTAGAACTTTGAACAGGAAAAGCAACTGGATTCAGAGGGGAGACAGACTGAGACTAGAGACGGACCCCCGGGAGCAGAAGTTTGAGTAGAGGGCAAAGGAACTGGCCCAGGCTCAGGGTCTGAGCAGAGTTAGGTGGGTGAGTTTTATTGTGTAGAGGCTAGAATGGCTATTTATGCCGGTGACACGCAGTGTGAAACATTTTGGAAGAATGGAGTGAAAGGAAAGGTCCAGGAATTTTAATCTAGGTTGTCACCTGGCTAAATTGGTGATTTAGAAATGTAAGCCAGTTTCACAGGGAAATTTTCAATGTATATGCCTGTGTACATATATTTATCATATTTGGCCACACATTGTTCTAATCTTTGGGGATATTGCCCACCCTTTGAAGTGCATTTGGAGATTAGCAGAGTCATATTGTAACACTTCATACATACAAAACATGTTCACTGTTCATCTGTCATCCTACCAGCGATTTGGGGGTTACATTAATATTTTAAGATGTTTCAACAAATAATTATAGTTTGCCTATAGATAGGAGGCACTGATCTATACATGCGATATATTAGTTCGTTTAATCTTCACATAATTCTGTGGGATAAGTATAGACATTTTCAAATGTGAAAAATAAAGTACAACAAAGATGTGAAAGGAATATCTTAATAAATCATTTTCAGAGAGAAGCGAGCAAGGAAGTAGGCAGAGGGAATAAATCAGAAGTGAAGGGAAGTGATGGTATAATTTGAGTTTCCTTTAGAAGTTTCCCACGCAGGACATCCTTCAGTCACTTTTGTGCCCTTGACTTAATTTTCATAGACAGTAAAAATTGTATAATTTTTACTAATTTTGGCTGATTTTAAGTTGCTGGCAAGAGAAAATTGTGCCAGTATAGTGCCTCTGCCTATTCAGAGTTTATTTTAATTAATTAATTAATTTGGTTATTTTTGAGATGAGGTCTCACTCTGTTGCCCAAGCTTGGAGTGCAGTGGCATAATCACGTCTCATTGGAACCTCTCCCTCCTGGGTTCAAGCGATTCTCCTGCCTCAGCCGCCTGAGTAGCTGAGATTATAGGCGTGTTTTTGTAGTTTTAGTAGAGACGGAATTTCATCATATTGGCCAGGCTGGTCTCGAACTCCTGACCTCTGATGATCCACGTACCTTGTCCTCCCAAAGTGCTGGGATTACAGGGGTGAGCTACTGCCCCTGGTCTAGATTTTATTTTTATTTATTTTTATTTTTTTGAGACGGAGTCTCGCTCTATCGCCAGAGTGGAGTGCAGTGGCGCGATCCCAGCTCACTGCAAGTTCCGTTTTCCGGTTTCAAGCGATTCTCCTGCCTCAGCCTCCACAGTTGCTGGGACTACAGGCATGCACCACCACACCCCGCTAATTTTGTGTGTGTGTGTTTTTAGTAGAGACAGGGTTTCACCATGTTGGCCAGGATGGTCTTGATCTCTTGACCTCGTGATCTGCCCACCTCAGCCTCCCAAAGTGTTGGGATTGCAGGCGTGAGCCATCGTGCCCGACCGATATTATTTTTTAAAAGTTGAGAAGTTTAAGAAGAAAAAAATACTAGCAGGCATTTTCTTCAAGAAGTATTCTAGGCTCCAGCTACGCAGGACTTTTAGTAGTTTGTCTAAAGTACACCATGCAGGGATGGGCACAGTGGCTCATGCCTTTAATCCCATCATTTTGGGAGGATAAGGTGGGTGAATTATGAGGTCAGGAGTTAGAGACCAGCCTGGCCAAGCTGATGAAACCCTGTCTCTACTAAAAATATAAAAAATTAGCCAGGTGTGGTGGCAGATGCCTGTAATCCCAGCTACTCCGGAGGTTGAGACAGGAGAATCACTTGAACCCAGGAGGTGAAGGTCGAAGTGAGCTGAGATCTCACCATTGCACTCCAGCCTGGATTCTATCCTTCTGGAAGAATAAAAATTAAAGAAAAAGTTAAAGGTTTGGGTCATAGTATATAACATTTGTGAATTAGTTATTTGATTTGGCCTCTATTTTGCCATTTTCAAATACGGGTAATAAAATCTTATCTAAGAAGAATATGAGACAGGAGATAATCCATGTAAAGCGCTTAACACAAATTTCAACAAACTTTCAGTGTATCTTGGGCATTATTTTCCTCTCTCTTTCTCTCACCTTTTCTTTTGTCCCTCTTGTAATACTTTGCAATTTTTAGGTATCCTGTTAATCATTGCTTTTTTAGAGTTAGATCAATATTTTATCACGTCTTCCCTTGGCTTGCTCTTAATGCTACTCTTAGAGCTATTTCAGAAAAGCCTTACTATCCAATTCAAGCCAAATCGGGAAATAAGCAGCCTAAGTATTATTTTTCAGATTGATGCCTGCAGCTCCTAGGGAGAGTGGAAGGCAGATAATTCCTATATGAAAAGGCAGCATTCAAAAACTATAAAAAATATAAATTCAACATTATTAAAATTTTGTACGTCAAAAAGTATTGCAAACACTTGAAAATGAACCCACAAGGTGACAGAACAAATTTGTCACTTACTGACAAAAGGTTAAACCTCAAATATATAAACAGTACTTAGTGGAGAGAATCTGAATAGACCATTCCCAGAAAAGTGGGAAAATCTCCAAATAGCCAACAATCTCATTTAAAAAAAAAAAAAAATATATATATATATATATATATATGTCTGACATTAGCAAATGCTGATGAACAAGAACTCTCGAGCACAACTGGTGGAATATGAGAGTGTAAATTTAAAATACTACCCTGGAAAGCAAACTGTTCAATTTTATTGATGTTGAATATGTACATGCTCTTACCAAACAATCCCACTTCCATGAAATTGGAATTCCAGAAAATGCATAGCTGTGTACAGTGCTGTTGTACTGTTTTGTAATGAGGAAAAGAAAAAAAAAACAACAAAGTATTTACTGACACATTAGAAAACTAGGCTAATGTTGAAAATAAACTGCACATTTCAACATGGATATATTTCAAGAGCAAATGTAAAAGCAATTCATGGAGACGTTTAAAATAGGTTAGGTGTATGCACATCTAAAGTTAAAAATAAAACGCATGGGAACAAAAAGTGCCAAATTCAGAATATTAGTTAATTCTAGAATGGTGGAAAAGGAAGGCTGTGCTGCTGGGAATGGACATAAGGAGGGATTTTAACTGCACTTGTTGAATAAGTAGTGTGGTCACTAGCATGTTTTGTATACCTGATAAATTCCCAGTATTTAAAAATAGTACCAGAAGGCAAACATATAAAGGAGGTAACTTACTACGGAGAGTAAAACTGCCGACGGTGTTCTACAGTAGTAAAGTATGGTCGGTCCCAAGTGCGCAGAGCTCTGTGCCACCCAAGTCCTCTTAAACCAGCCAACACGAACTTTTCCTAGAGGCCCCAGCCTTTCATGGAGCCCCTCAAACCCCTCATCTCTTCCCGAGACGTTTGAAGGTCCAGAGGAAAAGTTAAATGTCTAGCCTGGCCTTAACTTAGACCCCAAACTCCTTGACTTTCTAAATGAATCTGAGCAGTAAACGGGCTGCAGGCAACTTCCAAGCGGCCGCCAGAAGTTACTGGCCAGCAGAGACTCTTCTGGCCTCCGAAAATCTTGGCCCAGGGTCGCCTATTTTCAACATCCCCTGTAAAGCAGGATGGGAGAACTCAGTGACAATGGCTCTATTCAGAAACTCAGTTTGCAGTCATTTCAACTCTTTTGTTGAAAGCTTGGGGGCCCTAAAAAGGGCCTTTTTAGTGAATGACAGGGCTTCAAAATGTCATTTAGCCACCGAAGCCGTAGAGGGTGCGGCCCTGGCGCTTGAGCGCGTACACCACGTCCATGGCGGTGACCGTCTTGCGCTTGGCGTGCTCCGTGTAGGTCACGGCGTCCCGGATCACGTTCTCCAGGAACACCTTGAGCACCCCGCGGGTCTCCTCGTAGATGAGGCCGGAGATGCGCTTCACGCCGCCGCGGCGAGCCAGGCGCCGGATGGCGGGCTTGGTGATGCCCTGGATGTTGTCGCGCAGCACCTTGCGGTGACGCTTGGCGCCACCTTTACCCAGGCCCTTCCCGCCTTTGCCGCGTCCTGACATTATGAAGTGGTCAGAGAATAAATATCTGCCTGTGCTGGGAGCTTTCTTTTAGGGGTAACCTCTGCAGACCAGACTGAAAACCGGAAAAGCATTGGCGGGAAGTCCCTCTGCGTTAGGGGAGGGGACTTAAAAGGGAAACAGGCCTGCTGTGCTCTACTTCATTTTGTTCTCTTTCAGTCCTTTTTAATCCTCAAGAGCTAGGTTATTTTTCTTCCTTCCTTCATTTAACATGATTCCTGCCTCATCCTCGTTCGACAAAAAAATGTTAACATTATAGAAGATACATAAAGCAAAAAGAATATTTTATCTCTACATATATACATGTTTTCTTTAACACTATTTGTGTGGAACTATGCTATTTTATGGCATTTTTCTCCTTAATATACCATGGAAATATACTCCATATTCTAAATTCTTAGCAATAGAACAAGATGGATTCATAAATTTAAAGATCGTTCAGCTATATTGCTAAGTTCTCTACTTATTTTCATTTCCAGTGTTTAAGGGTGGAGAATTATCCCCCCCAAATACCGAGCTTGAAAATACTGAGTGCTCTTGAAAATTGAAGATTCTCAGAAATAAGTCTAAGAATCAAGGTCATCTAACTTTGTCTTGTTTCTCTTCCCCAAATGCAGGGAGGGACCTTTTCTGGAATTTCCTGATCTGATCAAGAAAGCTTCTTACCAAAAATAAAATAAAATAAAAAAAAAGCACAATTGCTTTCTGTTACCTCATTATCTACTGCAGAAAAGAAGACAGGAATGCAACCACACCTGGATGGACTTTTCCACAAGATAAAGCTGGCCTCTTGGTCTCATTCAGATTTCAAAGAGAATCATTTACAAGTTAATTTCTGTCTCCCTGGTTCATTCCTTCTCGCTTATAATCATTCACTGTTCCTCAAATAATTGTATACATTACCCATCTCCTCTTTTGCCTCTGAGAAAGGGTATATAAGCTTCTGTACCCCGCCAAGGGGTTGGAGTAATCATTCTGTGGCCCCCAGCCCTGTACAGTAATAAATTTGTATGCCTTTTCTCTTATTAGTCTTCTCTTGTCAGCTGATTTGCAGTGAACTTTCAAAGGGAAAAAGGAAGGTTTTATCTCGGCCCCTATACCAACAGCAGTTCCTGATATGCCTAGAAGCTTACCCAGCACTATTTTGAAAATTATTATTTCCAAAAAATTTCTGCTACCACTATTCTTGAAAATTACAAGTTACCCAGTTACAACCAAGAAAGCTGCTTACAACTTTGGTCAAAACTATGTTAGTTTTATATGTTTATTAAAGTTCTCCCAATCTCAATATAAAATCTCTCCATCAAAAAGTGTTTAAAACTTGCTTTAATTTTGCCCAATTGCAGTGGCTCACACCTGTAATCCTAGCACTTTGGGAGGCCGAGTTGGGAGCATCACTTGAGGTCAGGAGTTGAAGACCAACCTGGATAACATGGTGAAACTCTGTACTAAAAAATACAAAAATTAGCCAGGTGTAGTGGCACACACCTGTAATCCCAGCTACTCGGGAGTATGAGAGAAGCTGAGGCAGGAGAATCAGTTGAACAGGAGGCAGAGGTTGCAGTGAGCTGAGATCACACCACTGCACTCCAGCCTGGGCAACAGACTGAGTCTGTGTAAAAAAAAAAAAGAATTTTCAGTAATGAACAAATAGAAAATTCAAATGCAAGAAAAGGATTATACTTTTATCTAAGAAAACTTTCGTTAAAAGCATATATACTTCAAATATTTTGGGTTACATAAATGGGATTAAAAAATACAGTACAGACCATTTCTTAAGCTCCAAGAAAATAACTTCTTTCAGCACTGGCATGTAATCTTGTTATTCAGTGATTTTCTTTCTACTCTTTATTTCAATGAGTTACTGCAGCAATGCTTGAAGTATTTTCAAAGTGTTACACTTAAATATCAAAAAAATGAAGATAAACTTTAAAATACTTAAAAATTTTTTGTATTTATGTTGCAATAAAAACATGCCATACATCTTTGGAAAACAAAATTGATTTGATTGGCTGTAACTGGCTGTAGCTGAATTCAGTATGTTGTAAAGAGGGGAAGGTAGCATAGGTTAATTGAATATGCTAACCTAAGGGTAGATACAAATTAAAAATAAGAGGCTTAATTATCTGTTGAAAACAAGAGACTTCACTTTCAAAATTTCTCTGTCCTTTTAAAATGTATGTAATTGTTTTTAATGGCTACATAGGCCTTAAAACTCAGAATATTTCAAGGCCTGTAGAGCCATCTCTTTGAAATGTTATTCATTAAAAAAGATAGTGCTCTGTCTCGCAGTTTCCAGCCAGGAAATGGGCCAAACTTTGGCTCTCACCTAACTTCAAATTGCAAAACCTACCCAATGTAGTTACATATAATAAAAAAGCATTTCTTTCTGCTTTTGCAACGTCTTCATTAGATTGCCCATGATAAGCAACTCAACTCTGTTTAATGCTTATTCAATAATAAAATTACTTCATTTCTCTTCTTTGGGAGATTTAAAAATTATATTTCCCCAACATTAGTTAACAAATACATTTCTCTATTTGAGCTTCTCACCAATCAGAAGCCTCCTTCTGTATCTGATTTCATCAGTTTTCACATAGCAGTTAGTGACAAAGATAGCAATGAATGGTAAATGGTGGCAGAATATGCTATCCCAAAATACGCCATTTTGGAATAAGAATTATTTTGAGATAAAGGCAATTTAAAAAAGTAGGTACAAGAAAGACACTCTGACCCTTCCCTTTTACTTCCTGAAAACATGAATTAAAATTCCCATATGGAAGATGTCCTCCCTGTACCAAAAGGAAAAGAACATTTCATTAAGGACAGGAAGGTGAAACCAAGAGAATTCTGTACAAGATCTTGGTAAAATAATTATTGTTTTCCTTTAGCCTCCCTACATAGTTGTATTTCCACACTTTATACTGTTCAACTTACTATATAAACACTTAGGTTTTGCAACTTCTTTGAGATCTATGATTAGAGCTCTCATGTCCTATGCCACATAAAATATATAAAATCAGTTTATATGCTTTTCTTCTGTTAATCTCTCTTATGTCAGTTTAATCATCAGGCCGAGCCATAAAAACTCTTAAGAGAGTAGAGGTAAAATTTTGCCTACTCTACAAGGGATATTTGAGAGTTTGTCAGATTCTTTAGTTTCTGAAACTGAGGTAAATGTGTTCTGAAATTGATAGTAAACATACACACAGTATAACATTTTTCAAAATGTGATGCTAATCAGTCTCTTTTATTATTTCTTGTTTTTGAGACAGAGTTTTGCTCTTGTTGCCCAGGCTGGAGTGCAATGGTGTGATCTCCACTGACAGCAACTTCTGCCTCCCAGGTTTAAGCGATTCTCCTGCCTCAGCCTCCTGAGTAGCTGGGATTATAGGCATGAGCCACCACACTCAGCTAATTTTGTATTTTTAGTAGAGAGGGGAGTTTCTCCATTTTGGTCAGGCTGGTCACTGCTCATTATATGCTAATTATAATACATTAGCATGCTAAAAGACACTCCCACTAGTGTCATGACAGTTTACAGATTGACAGGGCAAGTCCGGAAGTTACCCTATATGGTCTAAAAAGGGAGGAACCCTCAGATGGTGAATTGCCCACCTCTTTCCCAGGAAAACTCATGAAGAATCCACCCCTTGTTTAGCATATAATCAAAAAATAACTACAAATATACTTAGAACAGAACAAAAGAACAATTTTCTTTACTTCTCTAATAAACTGTGTTTCACAGTAGTCTATGGATTTGTCTCAAACTCTTTCTTGAGAGGGACTCAATAACTCTCTCTTGGGGTCTGGATTTGGATCCCTTCCAATAAGTTACCCTTGAAAAATACATTCTGTGTCCAACCACTGTACATTTGTTAAATTTATTAAATATTAATTTAAATAAGTTGAAAGACCTTTAAAGACAGAACAATTGAAAAATGAGTAAAACTTCCCTGTAACATGCATAAATGAAAAATTTTAAAAAATGAGTAAAATTATTATGGGTTACACAGTATAAAAATCCATCAAAAAGCCAAGTATTTTACTATTTTGGGGGGGCCTCTCAAGGACCTATCTTTGCTAGATATTGTCAGCACTGTTTCTGTTCCAAAACATCATATTTATACTAGGATTGGTAGTAGTTATATTTTAAGTACAAGAAATAGAAACAGTACAAGAGTGTGAGGTGTCTATAGGCTAAGTGCTAAAGAAATTCCAAATAGGAAGAGGAGGTTTCTAGAGAAAAGGAGCTGAAAAGAAATGGGGTAGGTCAACCAAATTTTAGGACAAGGGTTTTTAACTTGAGGTCCATACTTATATGTCACAACGCCCCTAAGGATAAAATTCAGCAATTAGGGGATGGTGAAGGGGAAGTCTGTGAGGTTGGGTAGTAAAATATCTATGTTTAAAAAATTAACCTTGACTGAATGTGAACATTTCACTTTCTTATGAATTTAGGCCACAAATTTCAGTACCTGTTACTTTGTAATCCAAAAGACATTAGATGTTTCATTTATCATTGCAATTGCTGAGTTATCTTGAAACAATTATACTCATCTAATTAGTAACATCAATTAATGTGTCAACTATATTAACAGCATAACTATATAGGCTCATTTATCACTATCAAATTTTAAAAATACTTTGAACACTGTAATTTAACTTTGTTTGGCATTTTATATACTGGAAACATCATTCTGAGATTTTTCCATGTTACCAGACAGCAAAAAGTGTCTGCAATACACAAGAAGAATGAATTAACGTCTTTTTCTTGTGATTACATCAGAGTTCAGTGAACAGAGGTAGGAGGCAAGACTGTGCAGTCTTGGTATGGGTATTCCTTATTTCGCTGCAACACCAAAAGTTATTTACAATATCACACTAAATAACCCTCCTCCACAGAAAACTGCCAGTCTTGCTAGGAGGCCTCAGTTTGTGTCAGAAACCCCTAACATCCTGTACTTGTCTGATACTCATAAACAGGCCTTTGTTGAACCATATTGTAATGTATATTGTTTCCCCCTATCTGTTGAGGCAGACATTTTAACACTCTGTATGCCAACACTTTACCTCAAATTTGATGGGTTTTAAGGTTTATTGGAAATAACTATCCTGTCAGGTTCTTATAGCAACTTGGGATTTTAGACATTTCTAAATATGAGAAATCTTTCTTAGACTCCAGATAACGTCGTCCCAATATTTTACTTCATTGTAAAGGCATACTTTGCAACGAGCAGTGGGGTGGGCAAAGAGAATGCTTGACATCTATGCATCAGGAAAGACGTGAGGCTCTGAATGTCACAAAGTTCTGCAGCCTCGCTCTCCTGCAGCAGCGCCACCGCCGAGCTCTCACAGGAGCTGCAGCTTGCACAGAGCTCTGGTAGCGCCGGACCTCGCGCAGGGTCACTGTGCTGGGCACGCAGCGGCGGGGCTTCTTCATGCCGCCCTCGACCTGCGTGAAGCACCGGCCTGCTAAATTCTAGCCAGGGCGGTAACTCTTTTGTGCCAAAGTGCTTCAAGAACTCACAAAGCCACTGGTGCTGTGAACACATGCTATGTTTAAAATTTAGTGGCCTAATAGATCTGATCACCTAACTCTTGTGCGCGGTAGAATCTTATACGTGGTAGAACCCTGACCACCTTCCCTGCAGTCTTCTTTATGAATCTGCGGTGTTCGCTACGTTGTTTTCAAGGATAAGAATGGGTAACTTATGACCAAAGTTTTATCATACCTCACTTTTTCTTTCACATAAAACATTAACAAATGTTAAGTCCTTTTAGAGAAGACGTGGGTGGCCCTGAAAAGAGCCTTTGGTTTGGACTCGATTTTATTCGAGTTGCCACAAACTAGTCCAGGTAGTTACTTGCCCTTGGCCTTGTGGTGGCTCTCGGTCTTCTTGGGCAGCAGCACTGCCTGGATGTTGGGCAGGACGCCGCCCTGCGCGATGGTGACCTTGCCCAGCAGCTTGTTGAGTTCCTCGTCGTTGCGGATTGCCAGCTGCAGGTGGCGCGGGATGATGCGGGTCTTCTTGTTGTCGCGGGCCGCGTTGCCCGCCAGCTCCAGGATCTCGGCGGTCAGGTACTCCAGCACCGCCGCCAGGTAGACCGGCGCGCCTGCCCCGACCCGCTCGGCGTAGTTGCCCTTGCGGAGCAGGCGGTGCACGCGGCCCACGGGGAACTGGAGACCAGCGCGAGACGAGCGGGTCTTGGCCTTGGCGCGGGCTTTACCACCCTGCTTTCCACGTCCAGACATGGCGACCACAAGCAACCCACTGCAAGTAACTATAGAAAGAAAGTGAATGGCTGCGCTTTTTATAGACACTATTGGGCGCGAAAAAGAAGACGTGTCATTGGTTAGGATTGCAGTTTAACTTCAACCAATGGCAGTGCGTCTTCTGGATTTGCGACTCCTGAGTGGGCAGAACTGACTTATGACGTCAACCTGAATAATCACCAATCAGAAACAAGACTTTAACTCCACGTTATTTGCATAAAAGACTCTATATAAATACGCCGTGTCATACCTGGTTCATAGTGTTTCTTCTTTTCTTGGGCGCTTTGTAGTTAATTTGGGCGATGCCTGAGCCAGCGAAGTCTGCTCCCGCCCCGAAGAAGGGCTCCAAGAAGGCGGTGACCAAGGCGCAGAAGAAGGACGGCAAGAAGCGCAAGCGCAGCCGCAAGGAGAGCTATTCCATCTACGTGTACAAGGTGCTGAAGCAGGTGCACCCCGACACCGGCATCTCCTCCAAGGCCATGGGCATCATGAACTCCTTCGTCAACGACATCTTCGAGCGCATCGCCGGCGAGGCTTCCCGCCTGGCGCATTACAACAAGCGCTCGACCATCACCTCCAGGGAGATCCAGACGGCCGTGCGCCTGCTGCTGCCCGGGGAGCTGGCCAAGCACGCCGTGTCGGAGGGCACCAAGGCCGTCACCAAGTACACCAGCGCTAAATAGTGAGTTGATTGCAAACTCAATCATAACGGCTCTTTTAAGAGCCACCCATTTTCTCAAAGAGAGAGCTGGTGCTTGTATTCTTTCTGTGCCGGCCATTGTAACTCGCTATTGTGTTTCTTTTTTTCTTTATTTATTTACTTTAAGAGATGAGGTGTCAGCATATTGGCCAGGCTGGTCTCGAACTTCCGACCTAAAGTGATCCACCCGCCTCCGCCTCCCAAAGTGCTGGAATTACAAGCATGAGCCACCATGCTCGGTGTTACTGTGTTTAAGTTTGAAGTAGAGCAGTTATTTAACAATAGGGTCGTTACTGAACAATTGTTAATGACCTTTCCTGCCAAAGTAAGCTGGAGATATGCCAACGACTACAAATGTGACATAATCTGACCCTGAACTTTTTATTGCCTAAAAATGTTCTATTCTCATCCCCTTAAAGTTAAGTAAGGAGATAGGAGATTTTCTATTATAAGTTCGAAGCAAGTTAAAATACTTGCCGGTCACCCATTGGATAATGAGTTGCACTAGTGCCGAGCTGCAGTGGTTGTCAGTTTGAATTTGCCCGGGCGGCGCCCGCCCTTCCTCTCTGCATCCTGACTGGTTGCTATATCCAGGAAGTCCATGGTTGGCTTGAGTGTGCCAGAGGAATCCTATCCTCGCCTTTATTTGGTCCTTCCTACAAACTGTAATCAGTTTCTCATTCTTAATGCTTTCGGGAAGGAGATTTATTTCCTCTCAATTTTAGTTGGATAGAACGAAATATATTTTTTGTTTTTATTAATTTACTCATTTTTTTGAGATGGAACCTCACTCTGGCCCAGACGGGAGAGCAGTCGCTCGATCTCAGCCTCCCCTTCCTGGGTTCCAGCGATTCTCCTGCTTCAGCCTTCCGGATAGCTGGGATTACAGGCATGCACCACTACATCTGGCTAATTTTTGTATTTTTAGTAGAGACAGTTTCACCATGTTGGCCAGGCTGGTCTCGGACTCCTGAAGTCTTGAATGTCATTGTTTACTTTTTCTGGAAGGAGAGTGACCTAAGATACTGATCTAAACTGAACGTGCATGGCTAATGGTTTGGATAGACAGAGATTTTAAGTAGGCAAAAGTGGAGGTTGTGTTGACAAGAAGTTTTGGGAAACAGTGATGTGGATGAATTTCCCAGAATGGTTCTAGATTATGAGAATGATGTCCCACGTGAATGCTAACCAAAATTCCCACTCTTGGGAGGAGGCTATCAACAATCAAGTACGCATCAACCACATGGCTGTCAGTAGTCTCTTTTCCTATCACCCCACTTACTGCCCAAGTGATTTATTTGTAAACCATGTGACCAGGGTGGCAGGCAATGGTAGAGGTCATACTTCAGCTCTGTAGTATAGACTTAGCTCACCAAGACTGACCTGGATACTGATGCTAAGTGTCCCATATGGCAGGGGAAGTATTCTTGCAAGTATTTTGTCATGAATGAGGCAGGGATTTGTCTTTACTGAGATAAACACTTAATCTAGATTTGGGTATTGTTCACTTTCCTACATGCTATAGCTAGCAGGACCATCTATGAACTTACTGAACACTTTATACCTCATATCTCACAACATTTTTTGGACCCATTTCTATACATTAAACAGAAAGGGAAAGGCAATGCATGGATGACCATGGGACTCAGTAGTCCTAATGTGTACCATATTTCTTATTAGCAGAAGTCTCAATTTTTGGAAGACTCAGTTAAAGTGGCATGTAGTCATTCAGCACCCTCCTGGAGTGCCGCTCAATTTTGGATGTTGTATATGTGCTGAACAGTGACTAAGAATAGACATAATTTCTTCTGTAGCCAAAATGCATTGGTTAAAGAAAGGAGAGGTAGAAACGTAGTGGTGCTCTCTTATTACACTTAATAATGAGCTGATAAAAGTTATGCTTTTCATGTTTGCAACTCAGGGCTCCCTGCTGTTTTTTGTTTTAGAAAAGGAGAAGTACATATTCCCACCAGTAGTCACGGAGATGCCTCTTTTTATTGATTTACCAAAAATGATTTATTTTTATATGAAGTTTAAAGCAATTTAAATTACATTCATTTGGTGGCTTAGAGAACCGTGGGAAGACTTGACTTACAGAAGTTGGGCTTTTTGGACTCTCCTCTGTCTGTCAGTTTTCTTTTTGTTTCTGTTCTCCCCCTACCGCCCCCTGCTTTTTGTCCCCTGACTGTCTCAGTCTACCTCTTTTTAGGGTTATAGGCAAGGAGCTGTGACAGACAACTTGGGTGTTTTTAAAATTACTCTCATAAAAAATATACCTTTGTTCAGGTGCGGTGGCTTACACTTGTAATCCCAGCACTTTGACAGGCTGAGGCAGATGGATCACCTGAGGTCAGGAGTTCGAGACCAGCCCGGCCAACATGGTGAAACCCGGTCTTTACTAAAAATACAAAAATTAGCTGGGTGTGGTGGTGTGCAACTGTAGTCCCAGCTACTCCAGAGGCTGAAGCAGGAGAATCGCTTGAACCCAGGAGGCGGGGGTTGCAGTGAGTCAAGATTGTGCCCCTGTACTCCAGCCTGGGCTACAGAGCGAGACTGTCTCAAAACAAAACATTTGTTTTTCCCAAACCCTTTTCAAAGAATGGTTTAAAGGCAATGGCAATCCAGGATCAGTGAGAATTCCCACCCAGATTATGGTCTCTCAATTCCTTTTTCAAAGAGCAGGCAGGCTACTTGGAGACTTGTAAATTTATGGATCATAATAGATTTAAGAGGAACAAACAGCAGTCATATTTGCCATATTTGGATCTGTTGGGGTCCCATTCAGACAAAATCACTATAAAAAATTTTTGAGACAATTCAAGATTTTCTGTCTTTAACGGCTAGGTATTACATAATGTTACAAATTATTTTTAAATTTTTCTTTTTTTTTTTTTTTTTTTTTAAGATGGGGTTTCACCATGATGGCCAGGCTGGTCTTGAACTCCTGACCTCAGGTGATCCACCCACTTCGGCCTCCCAAAGTGCTAGGATTACAGGCGTAAGCCACCGCGCCCAGCCTAAAATTTTCTTAGGTGTAAAATCTTAAGTGTATTTTCTTTATTTCCATATCTGTTAGGATCTTTGTGAAAATATTCCTGATTAACTAACATATTTGGGATTTCATGTTTGGGATTTCTTTTAGATTCCCTCATCCGCCAGTGTGGCTCTGGATAAAGAAAAAAAATGGGCAAGTTGTTGGTACAAAAAAAGGCTAAAATAATAATAATGATAAAGCTGGCCAAATCAATGAACGTATTTCTTTTCTGGTCAACAAAGGGCTACACTGAGAGGAATGAGCGTGTAGAGGAATGCTGGCGACCGCACTTAGAGAACGTCAGGCAGCTTGGCGGGCTGGAGAGCAGCAGTTGGCACAGGGAGGAGCTCTCGGGCCGCCCCCTCCTTCTTTCCCGCGGGCGAGTTGTGAAGCGCTGTCACCATCTTGTGGCGATAAGAGGATAATGTAGCTCAAACTTTGCTTAGTTTTATGATTTCGATTAGGCATTTCATTGCTATGGTTTAATGATTGCATATACAAAGAATGCTATAGATCATCCCATCTCGAACAGCCCCCAACCGCCCAGTTCCCTCATCTACTTGGCAAATATTCTTTTTTTGACCAAACTCCAGGCAGCTTCTGAGCTCTCTTCTGGACTAGGCAGCAATCTTGGCCTAAAAAGACCTAAACAAACCTGAACATAGTTCCTAATGGCCCCGGTCTCCTTGAGCACCTGCCTGAGAAAACTCAACGGATGCCGCCAAAAGAATTTACCGTTTGTTTCAGTCAACATCTGAAGATAGGTCCCTCGTCTCCCAGGTTCTGCAGTAGGTGTGGAGCCTGATCTAGATATGTATGGGCCAGTTATGAAACCCAGATGGTTCCCCACTGTCAGTGATTACTAAATAAAATCTATTTTTGTCATTTAAACTAACGCCTGGCTGTGTCTTATCTTTGATATATCGCAATGAAGCACTTTAATTAGTTTCCTGTGTACCTGCCTGGAATATCTTTTTAGAAACACAAATAAATGTGCCCCCTTTCATTCAAATTTGCCCCTTTTCGTTCAAATGGCTGGTGGTCACATGTTCTTCACAGGTTCTGCCTCTTGCTTTTCTCATTAACTACCTGTCTTTCCTATTGCAGGTGGAGTGGCTGAAACTTCTCAGCAGGCACACCCACACTAGTGACCTGAGGAGAGAAACCTTAACCCCACAATGGCTGCATCTTCTCTGAGGATGAGGCTAATGCTCATATTTTAAATGAAGGGCAGTGTGTGGATTTCTCCACGAAGGTATCCAAAAACAGCCCTGCCAGAGCTGCTGTGGGGCGGCTAAACTGCTATCCCTTTTCTAGGGTGGGGTCCCCACTCTTTGTAAGGAAGGATACTGGGGTCCTAACACAGGGAACCATCTTGCCCATGAGGCCTCCTTGTCATTGAGCACCCCATCTGTGTTTCCTGTTCCAATTTACAACTATTTTTTGGTCATAATATATATCAAGATCTGAGATGCTATGTTTTACTTCTTCATTGGCTTATTATTATTACTGTGCAACCCTCCACACAAATTTTTTTGGCACTGGATTTGAGGGTTGTGGGGTAGGTTATATTTTGATCACTTGTATTTCTCAGCTTCTAAAACAGTGCTCAGGAAAGCACATCTATGAGTAAAGTCATACTCCTCTGTTCTGCTGTTGCCAACTGGAAGATACCGAGGGAACTTTCTTTACTTTCCTTAGGGGATGATCCAGAAGATGAAAAACAACTTGTCATTCTGTGTTCCTTACAGCTGAATTCCCAGTTTTTGCTCCTGGGGAAAAAAAAAAAAAAAACTAATTCAGTTTTGTTAAAAATTCTTTTTACCTGAATTTTTTTTTGTTAATGATTATTAGCATATACAGTGTTTTCTTTTCATATATCAAAACGGCAGTTGATACAGTGCATGACTTGAAAACATACCTGCCCTCTCTAAGGCTCAAACTCAGGACAGTATTATTTGGAAAGCCCTGTAGCCTGGTTGGGTTGTGGCTCCCAAGAAATCATACCTAATTTCCCTTCTTTGAGAGCACTGGTTTCTGAGTTTCCATTTCTCCCAGAAGAGAAACACTGGCTTGTAAGAATTTATGTGTCATCAAGGCTTCCTTTTTCACCCCTGAACTTAGAAGGACCCAACCCTTGAGGGCTGTGCTGTCAACACCATTCCTTGCTCACCCTCTCTTTTGCTCTAATTATTTCTGTCTTCCCACCTCCAGAAATATCAGTTACTCTTTCAGCAGCCCTTGTTTCCTCTCTGGCCCTAGTACCAAGTAGGTGACGTACAACTGAAAGGATGAATGCTGGCTAACTTATCTCTAGCCTAGATGTCCCCTTATTTTAAATCTGCCTTTGCAACCACATGGCCTGAGACACTCCTCTTGAAAGTACCACCAAAAGGACATCATAAAAAATCACCACCACCATCATCTATTCAGGCCTATGCATTAGGAGACATAAAATATGAGTCATTTACATTGTTTTATTTAATCCAACTTAATTTTTTCCACAAACATTATTATCCTCATTTTAGAGATGGAGCTGAGGCTCAGAGGAGAAAACTTCCTTAAGTCATAACACTGATAAGATAAAAGAAAAAAAAAAAGTCATAACACTGGTAAGTGGCAAAGCCAGTACTAGAAACCAGAGTAGTTTTGATTCTGAAATGTGTGTTCCTCCTATATCAGCTCATGTTCTCTCCACATTCCTTCTCTTCGTGTACCCAACAGTTCACCTGACACGTATTCACAGATTTGTGCCTTCTTTTATCCATTAGACATACATCCCCCACCTCCAATGACACGTCAGCTCATGTAGGTTATTCCTGCACATTTGCATTCTTTCCATTCATGGCATGTAGCATTTGGAGGAAATGCTGTGTCACATGTTTTCACTGTGGACTTCAGAAGCTGAAGGAACATGGCCTAGCATCTGGGGCCCTTGCTTGTTTGAAAAGTTTCTGGTTTCTCCACTTCTAGGCTCACCATCTTCCAGGCTTCCTGACAGATAAGAAATTTACTTCAAAGCTTACTTTGATAAAGTAACTCCTCTGCTCAGTTTTTCAAAAGAACTTCTATCCTTTTAATCTGGATTTTTAAACCATTACTTGTTGCTATATACGTTTTTTCCAGCTAAATTTTAAGAAATTATTTCTACCTAGAATGTATGTTTCACGTCCAATTACAAGTTCTTCCCCTTTCTCATAGAGAATTTCCTATTTTCATGCCTGGGACCCCTACTCCCTATTCTGTCTTCAGTTTCATTCTCTAATGTCCATTCTTGCTCTTTTTGATCTATTGTTTTTTTCTAAACTCACAGCTCTTTTAGCCTGTTTTGCGTTTTTGCTCTTCCACCATGTACTATGTGTGGCTTTTTTTCTGAACATTCCATCTCCTCAAGAATAGTATCACGTTGTGACCTCACACATTGTCAACAGGAGTAAACTTCAATCTGTTGATTTGTTCTGAAAAGAGTGGAAATATCTGGTTCTTTTTCTTTTCTTTTGAGAGAGTCTCATTCTGTCACCCAGGCTGTAGTGCGGTGGCACAATCTTGACTCACTGTAACCTCCGCCTCCATGGTTCAAGCAATTCTGCCTCAGCCTTCTGAGAGCTGGGATTACAGGCACACACCACCACACCCGACTAATTTTTGTGTTTTTAGTAGAGATGGGGTTTCACCATCTTGGCCAGGCTTGGTCTCCAACTCCTGACTTGAAATGATCCACCTGCCTGGGCCTCCCAAAGTGCTAGAATTACAGGTGTGAGCCACGGTGCCTGGACAAAGCTGGTTCTTTTTCTTTAGAGCAACTTTTTATAGATTTCAAGGTAGAAAACATAATTTCTTTGTAACTTGCAATTTCTATAGTCGGCAGCCTCCTCTGCTCAGGCCTCGACAACGTATGGTTCCTACCCTCTCTGCCCCCCAGAAATGGGATCTTGATCTGTCACCCAGACTGGAGTGCGGTGGCATGATCATGGTTCGCTGCAGCCTCAAACTGCTGGGCTCAAGCCATCCTCCTACCTCAGCCTCCCAAATAGCTAGAACTACAGGTGTGTGCTAGTACAATAATTTATTTTCTTACAGACGAAGTCTTGCTGTGTTGCCTAGGTTAATCTCAAATTCCTGGCCTGAAGTGGCCCTCCTGAGTTGCTGGGATTACAAACATGTCTTGTTTGAAGGAAGTTTGTCTTAATATGTTTCCTGCTCAAAACAAAATGTGACTCATCATTTTCAAATTCTAAAATTCTGGTATATCTTAAAATGTCTATACTATAATATCACATAAATTAGCTTTTATGACAGAATTGTTGCTTTGTCATTAAACTTCCTTCTCTGGTAAGAAAAAGGTCTTGGGTTCAAGTCCTCACAGAATTTTGTTTTTGCAGTGTGTAGTCTTCCCTGATACTCATTTCTTTTGTGTTTTCTTGACAAAACTTTTACACCTGACCTACAAGCATTTGGATAGTTGGGAGAAGCTATAGTGATATACCTTTTGTTTTATAAGAGTCTGTAAGACTGGTAATAGGGCAAGTCAATAGCTTTTACATTGTGTTTAGGCTCTTCAGCAAAATTGGATTTAAATATATTTAAATATTTATATTTACAAACTGAAAAAGTCAATTTTATGTAAAAAAGTTATATGGGAGATGATCAGATTAATATACATATATTTTCTTTTTGAGACAGGTTCTGGCTGTGTTGTTCAGGCTGGAGTGCAGTGGTGCATTTTTGGCTCATGAAACCTCTGCCTCCCAGGCTCAAGCAGTCCTCCCACCTCAGCCTCCCAAGTATCTGGGACTATACCTAGCCCTTTTCTTTTTCTGTTTTTTGGTAGAGACAGGGTTTTGCCATGTTGCTGAGGCTGGTTTCGAACTTCTGGAGTCAGGTGATCTGCCCACCTCAGCCTCCCAAATGCTGGGATTACCGACGTCAGCCACTATGCCTGGAACACACTAATATATTTTAATTTACTTTTAAATTAATCATGTTACAAAATCAATACTTTAAAGTTTATAGATTTGAATTCTAAAATTGTTTTACTGAGATCAAATTTATACACACTTGGTAAAATATTTGGTTGACTCACCATGTTGTGTAAATGATGATGTCATCTTACTTTCTTTTTTGAGACAGAGTCTTGCTCTGTTGCCCAGGCTGGGCATGTTTCACCCTGTTAACAAGACTGGTCTCAATCTCCTGACCTTGTAATCCATCCACCTCAGCCTCCCAAAGTGCTGGAATTACAAGCTTGAGCCACCACTCCCCGCTTTTTTTTTTTTTTTTTTTTTTTTAGCTCTTGCGGCCAAGTGCTACACGTTTCTTCAATTTTGGTCTCTCGATTTGTCTTGAGCATTTAAGTAACTAAATTTCTCTCCTGGTGTGTTTCTCATGCTGTTTTTTTGTTTGTTTGTTGTTTTTTTTTTTCTTTTTAAAGACGGAGTTTCACCATGTTGGTCAGGCTGGTCTTGAACTCCCAACCTCAGGTGATCCGCCCACCTTGGCCTCCAAAGTGCTTGGATTACAGGCATGAGCCACCACGTCCGACCCTGTCGTGCTGTTTTTGTTTTTGTTTTCTGTTTATCTTATTGATGAGTTTATTTTAATGTCCACAGTTGTAATGATTTCTAAAAGAAGGGGCTGGAGTAACCACACTCGAGTTTTTCCCCCTTTTTAGCCCTACACCTCCCCTCTCCCCTTTCTCAGGCTCAAAGGCGTCTTTGCAGTCATCAGGTAGGAATCCCACTTGAGGAATATTCATTAAGCTGACCACACAAACAATATCGACAATACCCAATCAACCATAAACTTAAAGATACCCAGCAACATCCTAATACTGACAGGATTACTAGAACCGCTTATCTCCTCTCCAAGTCCAGGGATCAGAACTCCAGGAGAGATGAAAGGAAAGTTGGCTGGATTTGGATATTGTTTCCTCCTTTTCGCATTAAAAGGCCTCATTCGACGAAGGTGGGATTCGAACCCACGCGTGCAGAGCACAATGGATTAGCAGTCCATCGCCTTAACCACTCGGCCACCTCGTCTGGATACGGCATGGTTCCTGAGTATTTTCTTTGAGAGTTTGTAATCGGAACCCACAGGCAGCCTTAAAAGAAGTTTTAGTGTACCAAGAACCTGAAAACAGAACAATGCAAAAAAAAAAAAAAAAAAAAAAAGTCTTAGGAAACCGTTTGGAGATGTTTGGGAGGCGTGGAGATGGCTCGTTTCCACATGAATGAGCAAGAACTGAATGGAAAAGCTGCGAGGGGAAAAAACGGATTTAGCTTTCATGGGACTCACAAATGTTCGAGATGTGGTAGAAACGTAGTTGCCGGGCCGGTCTCTCCCTTTCTCCGGCGTCCTGGTCCCGAGGCAGGAGGCACCTGAGCAGGCGGCAGGCCTGACCCGGCTGACGGGACGCACGGGGTTTGCCTTCGACCTGGGGCGGCAGGTGAGCCTGTTCAGCCCTTCTGTCTGCTCGCCGCGTCCGGAGAGCGCACCTGTGAGCCAGCAGGAAGCGGAGGTTCCCAAAACCGTTCACACCGGAGTCGATTTCTCTTTTGAAGCACACGCAAATCAACTACAGATTGAACAACAGGGAACATGGGGGAAATCCTGCAGGAATGGACCCCTACTGTATTTTCACACTCTCGCTGTAAGGATATTTGCTTGTTTCTGTGAATGCACAAAGAATCATCCTTTTCTTTTTCTTTGAAAGAGCCCTTCTATTTTAGCGTTTGCTGCACTGACCTGCCTGAAATCTTCAACCTCAACTCAACCCGCTCCCTTACCCCTTGCTTTCCATGCTCAGTCCCATTTGGGATTTTGCATCAAGATGGATCTAGTTTTCCTCTTCCAACAAGTTATTTTCCCTTGTGCAATGCTCTTTTCCTTTCTCACTTTAGCCTGGGTGAATTATTTATCCATACTGGTTATTAGTTCAAAGCTTT